GCTTCGGGAAACCTTCGGGGCGTCCGCACAGGAGCTGGACCAGTTACCTCGGGAAGATGGGGCGACCTGGAGACAGACGCCCCCACACCCACGGCGAGTAGAGAGCCGGGTGACAATGCTGGGGGACGCGCTGGGCTGCAGCGAGGCCCAAGCTGGCCAGAGAGTTTGCAAACTCCCGCTCCTCGGCTACGGGGAAAAGGGGAGACCTCGGTGGCCGCCACGGGCCGGCCTTCGGGCCGAAACTTGGCAAAACCCGCGGGGCAGCAGCGTGTGTGCTCCAGCTCGGCAGCAGTTTGCACGCGCGACTTTCTACAAGATCTTAGGTGCGCGACGGGAGTCACTTTCCTCCTAATAGTTGTGCAACGGTCGTGCAGGCTCGTGGGGAAAAGCCAGCAAGTGCCCTTAGGCATGGAAATAAAAAGTTATAAGGAGAAACAAACAACGGAAAACTTTACACTTGGTTTCCCTGGTCCCAATCTGCGGAAAGAGGCGGCAGAGGGGCCTCAGGGGCCGGACCCAACAAGTGAAGGAGAGAAAGGGGAAAGGACACAGCCCGGGACAAGAGAGCCTCAGAGCCGCCCCTGAAGGCACGGCAGCCCCGGGGCTCGGTCTCCTTGGTGCAGTCCAACCCCCGTGTCAGTCACCCCCTTCTCGAGTTGCGATTGGCCGAAGGCTTCCTTGGCCTCCCTCGCTCCCACCTCCTAGTTGCTTGGGGTTTACTTCCCCAAAGTACACGGGCCCCATCTTGTGGAGCAACCGCTCCTTCAAGGGAAAACGGGTCTCCGCCCAGGGTAAGACGTTTTGACGAATGGGAGCGGCCCCACGCCTTTATTGGCCACTGTGAGTATCGGTCAAAAAACTTCCCACCCTCTTTTCCACGGGACCTTTGAGTAATTGGTCTCTCTCTGTGCCAATCCGTTACTAGGGAAACGAGATCCTCACAGTCTCATAGGCATGAGTCAAAGCCAATCAAGAGTCACGCCTTCATCCTGAGTCAATACCCAATGGCCGCTCGAGGATCCCAGAGGACGCAGTCTCGATTGGTCCTCAGCGCGCCTGACATGGCGGCAACAGGTTAGGCTGACTCGCGGTTATATAGACCGGCGACGGAGCACGCGTGTGCGGACGCAGTTGCGTGAAGGGTTTTTTTTCCTCCCTCCGAGCTGTGGAGCAAAGCTTGTTCCTCTCCCGCTCAGCCGCGCAGGTACGCCGGGGTATGGGCGGGGCTGTGCGGCCCGGGGTCCAGGACGAGCTGCAGCGGCGGCGAGAGGGAAGGGAAGCCCCAGCGGCGGCCGCGCAAGGCGCGCCCCCCCCCTTCA